TAAAATGAGATAGATATATATTTGGCGCTGAAAAGAGAGAAAGCGAAGATGCTGAGTGTAAAAAATGTAAGCAAATCGAACAGACTTATTGGCTGCGTTCAGCAGAACACAATAGTTTTGCAACCGTTTTATGATTCTCTGCTGAGATTGGACCATTCCTCTTGATCTAAAAGCATAAACCCAATCAGCGCGAAGAAAACTTCCAACAGTTGCAAAATAAACGTTCTACTGAACGCAGCCATTGATTGCGTTCAGCGGACTCGACAATTAAGTGAGCGTTCGCTGCTATAAAAATATAGACCAAACAGATAATGGTACGTTTCCACTGAGGGCGTCACGCGTCGCGTCATGAAAGAGAGAAAGAAATAAGATTATATAAATACACAACCTCTCTCTTTCTCTCCTTCGACGACGCGACGCGTGACGCGCTCAGTGGAAACTCAGCCATAAGAGCTCATTGAACGCTCAGTGAGCTCTTATATCTAATTGGTGTATAGTTTTAGATCTAATGGAATATACCAATCAAATGCAAGAGTTCACTGAGCGCTCAGTGAGCGGTTACAGTACTGAGTGCATCCAATGGGTGCATGCAAAAGCACGATCGCTCACTGAGCGCTCATTGAGCTCTTGCATCTGATTAGCATATTCCATTAGATCTAAAAATATAGATTAAACCATGATAAAAAGACAAGGGTATGCTCATGCGCATGACCAATCAGATTTTTGTCCTTGCTTATGTCACAACGAGTGGCAATTTTAAAAATACGAACAGCATTAATGTTAAAATTTTCTGTTAATATGTAAATATATTACATAACATTTGATATAAATTTACAACTAACTCTGCTTTCGACATTCAAATGAAAACAAAATAAATACACAAAAAATTTAATGAATATAAAAATTAATGAATAAAAAAAAATCAAATTTTAAATAATAGCTTTTTAAATGATAAAACAAATAAATATAAGACACAAATGGATATAAAATAACAACACTTAATTTACAATTTACATTTTTTATTAGTAAATTTCAACATTTTCTTTTTCCTTTTTCTGGATTCAGAAGCAAGTGCTTTATTTAATTCATTCAATCTTATATAAGTTCTAGTCCTAATTAGACACAATATTACTTCTTTAGGAATGTGGACGTTTAATTTAGATGACGTTAACCTTGCCAATTTTTGAAAAATAAATGTATCCTTTCTCAAGGACGCACCGTGAAATTTTTCAAATTCCATATTTACGATTTTTGCACTTTGCAACAGCTGTTCTGAGGGATATATACATTTTCCGCGTGAAATAAATTGAAGCCAACTGTTTACATCGCTCGGAACATCCATATGTCTCGTTTCTATACCAAGGGTACATTCCAAAACTTCCTCTCTGAGGAAGATTTTACTCTATATGCTATAGTATACGTTACGTGTACTATATATTTCGAGTAAAATTTTCCTCGGAGAGGAAGTTTTGGAACGTAGCCCTAGTGTATATTTATGTTTGAACCGGAATGCAACGTACCCTGCTATATATTTCAAAGCCTCTTCTTCCATAACGTCGCTACAGTCTAATTCGTCTAACAATAACAATAATTGTTCTTCTTCGCAAGTCGGAGTGAAATTACATAAATCGAGCGAAATAGAGGACTCGTTTTCGCATACGCACAATTCATTACAGTATTCTGAGTTATTATTGGCATCGGTTTCGTCTGCATTAACGGACGAGACTTGCATATTTGCTAACAACGAATCATCGAAAAATTCGAAGGAAGGTTCATAGATTTCTTCACTTTGTACATTTGGTTTCGATATTATCAATTGGCTAGAATGTTTACCTAAAATAAAACGCTTTATACGAAACTGCAAGTCTAAAGCAGTCGGATGATCGTAAGTGGCTCCCAATGATCGCACGAAAGAAAAAAAATGTTCGAGTAAGTCCTGATTCAAGCGATATGTTATCAAATAAGAAATATCGTATTTGTCATATTTTTCCTGGAGATACTGCAATAATTGTTGCAAGGAAGCATTGCTTATGCAAATTCCTTTTTGAAAACTCAACATGAGGAGCTATCAAGCTCCTTTTCTCGCTCTATACTTATTTTATTACTTAAATACATTTCATCGAATGAAAGTACTACTAGTTTTTAAACATGAGGCATGCATGTTTTCTTAGCATTCATAACATTAAGTACACTCGAAAGAATACCCGGTTCGATACGAACTCGGTTTGCCCACCTTCGAAGTGTTGACATGCCAGGAAGTGGTATTTTCATTACATTTTTCACATAACGATATCCCTTTGGGCTCGCACATTTCAACGATATTGCATTCGCAATGTCTTCGTTTGACCACTTGGTTTTACTTAGTCTTGGATTCAATAAAAGCCTGATTTGTCCTGGAGTAAAAATTGTCTTCAGTAGGTCATGCATTCTGCGATCAAAGCGTTGATCTTCTGTTTCTATTCTTTGCTCAAGATTGTACAATTTCTTTTTTAATGCAGCATTCTCGAGTAGAATATCTTGCCTGAAAATATAAAATAATACCTGTAAGTATACAATTACACATTTGCTATGTTTTATATACTAAAATATCTATATTTTTATTTTATATATTTAAAGCACACTAGTAACCAAGTAAATATTCGAATCTGATAGTATTTTACTTAATCTGATATTTTTATATTTTAACATATTTACATAAATATATTTATGTTAAATATAAATATAAAAATTTTATTCATTAAGTTTGTTGGATTGTGCTCGATGAAACTTACATATTAGAAGGCAGAGCTCTATGGACTACATCTGTATCAAGTGAAGCATCACCGGATACTGGCAAAGGCACTACTCCAG